CTCTAGCGTGGCAACGATAGTGAGGTTGGCCCAGAGTTGGGCAGTGTTTCGTTCTGCTGTACATAAGGTCTCTATGAGTCAGCACCGACTCAGTGGCTCCTAACAACAAAGGGAAATTTTCTTTTTAATTTTAATATATTGAAGGTTTCAGCAAATTCAGAAAGTAGAAAGAGAGAAAGAAACATGGACAAAAGGAAAAACATGGACAAAAGGAAAAAAGCAAAAGTACATAATGGACTCAAAGGATGCAATTATGCAAATGACAGATTCATGCAGTGTTTCATTCTTTTGTGCATAGGGTGGTCGTTAGGAGTGAGGATCAATTCGATGGTTCCTAATAATAGTAAGTCCTGGTGTGGCGCTGTGGGCTAAGGCATCAGACTGCAAAGTTATTTGAACTCCAAGTTTGGTGGTTCAAGCTCACCAGCTGCTCCTTGGAAAACCTATACAGGGTCGCTATGGGTTGGAATCAACTCAACGGCACTTGACAACAACAAATAATAATCAATCTTGGAGGTCCAATGAACAACTGATGTTGTGGTTGTTTAAATGCTGTTGAGTCAGTTCCGACTCATAGCAATGCTGTATAGGGTTTCCCAGGAGTGGCTGGTGAGTTTGAACTGCCAACCTTGAAGTTTAAACCAACTTGCAGTCCAGTGCTTATCGTATAGTGTTGTTGTTGTTGTTAAGTGCCATCGAGTCGGTTCCGACCCATAGCGACCCTACCACACCAGAACTCCACATAACTGATAGTTCTAGGGAAAATTTTTTTAAAAAGAACAGAGAAAATGAAGGAAAGGAAATTATGACAAAACTAATATAATAAAGTTCCTCCAAACTGCAGACATGAGTTTCCAGATTAAAAGGTCCCAATGATATGCATGCAGCACAATGAATGAAAAAAAGGCCCAAACCCAGGCCTATCATTGAAAAGCTTCCTAACACCTTAATATGATATACTGAGAAAGGTATACCACCTCTTCCCAAATAATGCAAAACCTCAATCTAATCATGAAAAAACATCAGACAAACCCAAATTGAAGGCTGTCTAAAAATAACTGTCCAGTACACTCCAAAAGTATCCGGGTCAAGAGAGAAGACTGAAGAACTGTCCCATATTGGAGCTAGACTTGAGAAATAACAACTAAGTGTACTGGGAGATCCTGGATAGGAAAAAGGGCATTAATGAAAAAACTGGTAAAATCCAAATAAATTCTGAACTTTTTGTTTGTTAATTTCTTAGTTTGACCGGTGTTATGTAGTTAAGTAGGATTCCAGGAGTGGCACTGTAGAATCAATACTGAACTGCAAACCACAAGGTTGGCTGGTCAAACCCACCAATTGCTCCTCAGAAACCCTGTACAGGGTTGCTCCAAGTCAGAAGTGACTTGATGGCAAGTAACAACAACAGGTTATTAATGTAAAGGGAAGCTGGGTGAGGAGTATTTGGCACCTCTGTCTTATTTTTGCAGCTCTTCTGTTAAGTCTAAAATGATTTCAAAACTCAATAAATTAACTGTTAAGAAATGCTGTGGAAGACTTCTGGTAAGGCAGATGGACCACACGGACCATCTGCAATAAAGATACAAGAGACCAAATAAAACAGACACATAAAAATCCAGGATCCTTGAACTTCAGAAGTAGGGTTAAAGAAGTGGATTGAGTGATTGCTGGGGGGAAGAAGCTGAGCAGGGATAGCAAGAGAGGGAGACTGAAAGGTGAACAGCCAAACTAGACGTGATAGTAACATCTTGAGCCTTTCTGAGACGCTTTGGCAACAGAAGGTGGCCTGGCAGAACAGTTACACAGGGGACTGGAAATGTGCGATTCTTTCTTTCTTCCCTTGCTTCCCTGGTGATCAGAGGCGCAGTCAGCACCTAGGCTCATCTACCCCCAGCAGAATCCCTAGACAGTTCAGAGTCACAGGGTTCAGAGTCAGACCAGTGTGAGGCAAGGGCCAGCTGCACCACTTTCAGTAGGGCTCTGCTTAGAACCTAGAGAAACCACAGAGCCACCAGACCAGCATTTAACCAGTCACCCTACCCCCAAGCTGCCCTGTGTTCCTTTGTTGTAGTTAGGTGCCATGGAGTTGGTACCAGCACACAGCTAATCAAACACTGCCCAGTCCTGGGCCAACCCCACAACTATTGCTACTTTGAGCCCACTGCTGCTGCCACTGTGCCAATCCATCTCTTTGGGGGATCTTCCCTCTTTTTCTCCGACCCTCCAATTTACCAAACACAATATCCACCTCCAGGGACTGGTTCCTCATGACAAGATGTCCAAAGTATGAGAGACGAAGTCTGGCCATTCTGGCTTCCAAGGAGCATTCTGGCTGTATTTCATCCAACAGATTAGTTTGCTCTTTTGGCAGTCCATGGGACTCTTAATATTCTCCTCTAACACAACTCAAATGCATTAATTCTTCTATGGTCTTCCTTATTTGCTGTCCAACTTTCACATGCATATGTTGTTGTTGTTAAATACTGTCAAGT